TTTTTTTCCCCCCCCCCCCCCACTCTTCCCTCTTTTTTAATGAATAAAATTGATGGAATAGAAGGCAGCCATGTGTACGATGACAACTTTTCGATAAATAAATAAAAATAGTATTTATTTTCAGATAACTAATGTAAAAAGTAAACAATAACAGATAAAACATTAAAATTGCTGAATTAATTTGTCCATTGGATCCATCGATTATTTGAAAAAAATTGCGTACACATGTCTCATCGTCATGCGGTCATTGATCGCACCCGAAAATAAAAGGACTAAAGATTAAATGAAAATGGAAACAGAGAATAAAGAATATTATGGATATTATTACAAGGTTTTTTAAAATATAGGTAGATATTAGAAATATTAGATAGAGTAAGCTGGAAGGTGAAAAGATTCGAGATAAGTTGTGTGCATAGAGATAACATTAGTGTTATAATATTCTTCCATTAGTCATTTTTTTCATTTTATCTAGGAAAAACTACACTACACGCAGTCACTTATGCATTATTACATTATGTCAATAGAGTGATTGAATTTCTGCTATTGAATACCAATATAAAGACGCATATTTTCTCCATTTCCCATTCATCTTCATATGTTATTAAACCACAGAAATATTTTACAGGCAACCTGTGCTGAAAAAGACAACAAATTCCATAGAAAAATCCAGATAGAGAAGACGGAAACGAGAAAGGACAAATGCTTGAAATAATTTCTCCCATAACAATGCAGTATAATTAACTATGTACATTATTTCATGAAAAATTAATACTTTCGTTCACTAAATATATTTATTTATGAGTATTAGTGCTGAAATTAAATATGAACACAAGACAAAAAAAATTAGGTGTAAATATCATGATATATAAATTGTTACGTGTTACCCCTAGCATTCGATTAACATCTATCATTTTCATTAGTGTACATACATCGCGATAAATGAACAATTCACAACGTTCATAATTTCATGGTTGCGTTGCGACATGCATAATCGAGGAATAACACGAGAGTGTCGTTTGCACGACGTGCGGGTGAGTTTCGGAAAAGATTAGAATTCAAGATGTATATGAATGAAAATTCGTACTGCAATTGATCTCGTCCGACCCGTCACTACAGTGAGGCTCTCCATCGCAGCGTCTGCGCTCGTCGAGACAGAGTCCGTCGTTGCATCGAAACATTCCCGATGGACATTCATTAACTATTTTATAATGAAAGTAACAAAAAAAAAGAAAAATTTGCGTCATTTTTTTTCTTCTTGCTTTTAATGCGGTCTTTTCCCCTCATTATATATACATATATTTTTTTTTAATTTTGTTTGCGAGATTTTAATGAGTGTGACCGCAGAGAGAGAATAAAATGGTATATACATTTATTTCAACGATCCAAATATTTTTCGAGAAGCGAAAAGATTAATCGATAATGAAATTCATTTAGAATTTTCTTTTTAGAATTTTGGAAAATTTCACCTCATGTGTCAGGAGATTGAATAAATGTATCACTATTCCAGGCAATCCTGTATTTACAGATTAATTATTTCTCTCTATGAATAAAAACCAAAAAAATTACCGCAAATTTCTTCATCAGATCCATCACGACATTGAATCTGTCCATCGCACCTGTAAATCTCGGGTATACACTGGCTATTGGCGCACCTCCACTCGTTAATTTCGCATTTCCCTATCATCCCCCGAAAAATAAAGGAAAAACCGAATTAGAGAAACCGACGGACAATTGGATTAACCAAGGCCGAAGTTGAGACACTCGAGGTAGAGTATCGCAATTTGGATAGTATCCCTTACCGCACTCGCGCTCATCGCTGTAGTCATCACAATCGGGTATAGCATCACATTTAAGACTCAACGGTATGCATTTACCATCACCGCATCGCATCTCGTAACTGGGATCACATTCCACAGGTCTCTCTGTTACCCAACTGCTACCATCTACTTGCACATACATCACAACACAATTTTTACATTACAAAACTACCACATTAAATAATTAACATTATTTTGGCATTCAACAAGCTCTAGAAAGCAAGACAGTGCGTTAAAAATGTCAAATTATGTTTTTTGTCATTTTATTTGCTCATTTTCCAATTTTCTAATGAGAACAAGCGCCTCTAATAAATGTTGTATAGAAAAAACTCGAGTGAATCGCAATTTTTTTTCTCTCTGTGGAAAATTGGGTTTGTAAATCAATTTATTCCTGTAGTCTTCCTTCAGACAGCAACAGTAAAAACCATTCCACGAGTTGATTTTTTTTTTGGTATTGAAATGAACTTGACTGTACGTTATTAAACTCGGGATTCACTATTCCCTACGAGAAATGTCAAACAAGTGAATGTCTTTCAACTTGTTGATTTATATTGCATTGGATAGTTATTTCATGATATTTTCCACGTTTCATGACCTCTAGGCAGTTTCCATCAAGTTTTGAGAAGGATGTACGTGAGTGTATGTGAGAAAAAGTTTGTCCAATAATTCCACTTGAACGAATGAATCGGTGCGTATTTCACGTAACTTGGAGCTGATTAGATTTCCAACCACATTGACAACCGGCATTGATTTTTATTGTCGTCCTTAGTTTTCCAGTAGAAATATTCAATGAGCTCATTCACAAGGAAAAAATGGGAAAATGGACAATTGCCTCTCAAATTAAATTAAATGAAATAGTTGTAATAAATGAAATGCAAAATAGCAATTAGCGTACTGGTATGCGAGCCGCTGTCAATGGTATTATTTTTGGTTCCCTTGTGTTCACAGTTGACCTCATCACTTCTGTCAGGACAGTCTGGGTGACCGTCACACTTGTAGATCTCTTCGATGCACTTGCCCCCAGTGGCACATTTGAACTGTGTGGGCGTGCAGCCTCGGTCTAGGTAGCAGCAATGATTATTTCAATATGCGATGAAACAAAATTATTACTAAACACAATTGGACATAAGCATTGAAAGCATTTGTACGTCAACGACGACATCGAAACTGTACAAATAACATTGACAAATTTTTTTTCTTCTTCGAAATGGAAAGAAATTAGAAGACAGAAAAAAAAATATATATATATATACATTCTCAGGTAATAGTTTGTCATATTTGCGTATAAAAATCGATTTGAAGATTGCAACTAATGACAGAACTATTCAAGGGAAAAACAGCCAGACCCTTTCGCTCACGGAGCAAGCGTTGTAATTACGTCTGAAATAGATTTTCTTATTTAACTTTGAAACAGTCCAAATGACCGATTATTTAGCAAGAATTACGTGGCAATTGAATCCGAGGAAGTTGAGACCGTTTGTAAAACATTTAATCGATAAAAAAAAGGCTCGTAACACGTTGAACAAGTTGGTACGTAAATAAAAAAAACAGGAGGAGAAGGAAACTGGAAAATAAATTCTCTAATATTTATATAAAATTTTCTACTATTTACATCGCTTAAATTTCATGATATGTGTGAATTTTTCTCATTTATATTGTCTCAAATATCGATAGAGGCTGAATTTCAAAGGGTTTGAGTTCTAATAATAAAAAAACAATAACAAGGAAGGCGCCATAGAGTCTAGCAGGCACGCATCTTACGGTTGACCAATATACGCCGCTGCTTTATTCAGTTAAGTAATAAGGCAGCATGAACTCATAGAATGCCAATTGGAAGGCGTAACACAAAACTCTTTGAATCATTGTCTCAAAGACAAATTTAAATATGTATGTCTATGATCAACAATTACCATATTGTTAGTGATCTAAAATGGCATTACAATGACGATTATAGCTAATGATGACAAAGGTTAATGTATATTATTAGATGCTTCTATTACTAGAGAATGAATTCAAGTGCGTGAAGAGATTGGAATGCAATGAAAATATTATCTAAATCTCTTCACTCACTCACTCACTCACAGCAATGGCAATAAATTAAAAGCAGGCATAATAATGATTCTATACCGCAATTAAGCTCATCCTCAGCCCGAGGACAATTGTCGATTCCATCGCAAACAGATTCCTTGGTGATGCAAGACCCATCACCACAGGTGAATTCCATCAAGGGACAAGGAGCGTAACCTGCATGTTATATGCCATGTTTTATATTCAGTATATGACAACTTGGCATCCAGTCAATTTTCCTTTGCCAACTGACAATTGCCAGAAGGTACTTCTACCGATTAAATCCCTCTTCGCATTTAATGGAAAACATTCATCATACATTGAACAGTATGAAACTTTATTTTCGTAAGCTTAGCTAGGTCAGTACTTGAGTATTCGATCGGGAAATATTTGCAATGGATGCCATGTCATATAAAAATCTATTAAACACATAGATACGTTCAAAGCAGCTAGATGAATTGATAACATTTACGATGAAAGCACCATCTAGAATACCCTTTTTCATTAATATACACAGATTAATCCATAATAAATCATGGGATTTATTATCTCAATAAAAAAGCTGCTTCTAGTACCAAAAGCTGAATTATCATTTCTCCCCGTGTTAATTACTTGTGTTTGTACAGTTGTGATGATGGATAAATGTATGAATAAATGTGTGAAAATTGAAGGAGATATGCACAAGAACCCTCAGAGAATGAAACCCATTGTTGCACTGTTTTCTCCAGTGAGTCTTGAAGAGCAACAGACACTTATTGCATATCCCAGCACATTTCGCAAAGAGAGAGAAAGAGAGAGAGAGGGATCAAGTAATTGAGAGTAAGAGAGCGAGTTCAATTATTCCCTCAATGATTTAGTGGTGGACGATTGAAAGAGATTTCATTGGATAGTTTGGAGAATTTCTAGTGGATAAAACAGCTTACGAACTTATTTCGTTCCAATACTTTGCGAGATACAGTGAAAATAACTGTTTTTTTTTTGTTTCCCAACCAGAAATCACCTTGAGTATTCAATGAAATTGAAACTATGTTGTCTTCATTCAATCACACTATCACAGCTTTCGGAAGACACAGATTTCCCAATTTTTAACGACTTTATTATCTGGTACCTGCGTCCACCGTATACTCGCACTCAGCCTCATCCTCGTCTTCTCCATCTTGACAATCTCGAAATCCATCGCATACATGTCTCGCGAGTATGCATAAACCATTAGAACATCTGAATTCAGTTGATGCGTCACAGGACGAATTTCGCCTCTCTTTGACAGTAGTTAGTGACATTGATGTTATTGAGCTACCGGCATGATTAGAAATTGAAGAAGTAGAAATCAGATCGTTCTTCAAACTATTAAAATAATCACAATCTTCTTCGTCGGATAAATCCCGGCAGTCGTGGATTTCGTCGCAGATTTTTTCCTCTTGAAGGCAAATTTTGCCGTCACAAAAGTGTTGGTCTTCATCGCAAGGACCGTAATCGGGGTCTTCAGTGGTTGGACGGCTGTTGTTTATTCTATTATTTTCACTGGATTCGTAATCTTCATCACTTGCTGGTCCCGAGTCCCACAAAGGTATTCCCAACAATTCCCAGATGGAACTACTTTTCGGTGTTGAAGATGGCATATCCATGATCTCTTCGGAAAACTCAGGCTGTGGGATCTTGACAAATTTTCGCTGAGATTGATCTGTGGCGGATAGAATATTTGATGAAACGCTTTCATACGTTTCCTTTGATTCGAAGGCACTGTACTCTGTAGGATCATTGACTTGTAGAGTAACATTATTAATGTCAATAGATTCAAAATCTAATGATTTTTCTGATGTCGGTATTGGTGATGTGGTTTCTATTCCTCCATCATAATCAAAAGAGACTTGAGTAACTTGTCGTTGATATGTCGTGTCGAAAATTCCTGAAGGAACCGCAGTATCAGATTTTTCATCTGAACATTCGAAAATACTGTTGCAATCATCGGGAGTTGTTGATTTTGTGGACTCTGATGCAATTGATTTATTATCATTATCTTCGATTTTACTAGATAAAGTTGTAAATTCTGTTGCAAACTCTGTCGATTCTGGATCTTCTGTACACTCCGAAAATGTACATTTCCTTACAGAAATTTGTGTTATTTCATTTATTGTAACAGAAGATTGTGAAGAAACTTCTGTAGCAATTGAAGAAGACGATTTTTTTGTACTCGAAATTGAAGAATTGATGGCAAAATTCGCGGAAGGAGTCGGAAAAGAAGCCGCCAGAGTCGTTGATTGGTTTTTCTCGTGCCTCTCATTGTCATTTTTCTTGGGATTCTTCATCGTCTGCTTCTTCCTCTTCTTCTTTCTTTTCTTCTTTTCCTCTTTGTCCTTACGATTCTTCTTTTTCTCTCTATTATCTTTATTATCATTTTGGCCTTGATGCCTCTTTCCATTTACTTTGACCTTTTTGTGTTTTATTTTTTTATCTTTGTCCTTAGTGTCATCAATGAAATCCTGACCGGAGTCCGGTGCTTTCGTTTTCGACAAATGTTTTAAACTTAAATTGAATGATTCTTCCGAAGAGTCCAGTAGTCCAGAATCAATGTATTTGTCCCTTAAATAGTCACAATTAATTGTACAGTTTGGAATAGTTTCAATAATGGTTTTATTTATCGGTAACACTATTGAGGAGTTATCATTGCTTTGGTATCTCAATGATTCAAGTAGCTGACCACTGAATTCATTTTTTTTCAATTTTTCCTCATTGTTTTTCTGTATTGTATTTGAAATTTCTTCTTTATTTCCATGTTTTATTGAAGAATTGTTTTCAGCCACAACCTTTTTGGGTGATTTTGATTTTTTCGTCACATTATAATGCGATAAATAATGATCAACTTTTGGCCGTTTCTTGTTGTTTGATTTTTTCTTCAATATCGTCGTCAATCCTGTCTGGATATCACGTATATTTTCTCTGATTGTAGTCACTGCTTTGGGAATAGCCTCTGTAGATATTGAGACAATGGAATGGCCCATACTATTTTGACTGTCATTTCGTTTCAAATTAGCTTCATCAAGTAACGACAAATCTTCACCAATTTTAAACCTTACTGGTTGAGTTTGAGTACTTATTTCCAGAGCATCGATTGAATTACCATTCCATTGTTTTACAGCAGTATCAATCAGGGAAGTGTTAAAATTTGAAAGGATATTTCCATCGCCATCAATAAAATTATTTAACTCTTCAATCTTCGAGTCATTTGAACTATCAAAAATTTCCGCTGGTGAGATATTTTCCGACATTATAGATATTACGCCGGATTGATTAAACTTGTGTTTTGATTCAATATCAGCACTTGCCTCAGTCTTGTTCGTTTCAATTACAATGGAGTTATTAATTTCATTTCTTCTCGCGGCAAATTCTTTCCAGTCTTTGCGCGTATTATTTAACTGGTATATCCAATCATCAAAATTTGCTAGCTTTCCATCTCCATTAGAGTAATCCGATGGATTAATATCATCATTTGTCAGAGTGGTGTGATCAACTTTAGAAATGGAAACGGCAGAAGTGAATGACACTTCGTCAATCAACTTGCTGGATATTTCTGGCAATTTTAGAAGATTTTGCTTCTTCAAATAGCTGTAAACAGCACCGCTATGATTTAATTTTTCAATTGTCCTTTTCCATTTGATCTCGTCATTGTCACTACTGTCAATAATATTTCGATAATTTTTCATCGGTATATGTTGTCTTTTCGAACGCTCCTCCATCTTATGTTTCAAATATTTTAAATAATTTTGAGCGTCAGTAATTTTTGACTGGACATCAATGGGTTTGTCTGTTCTGAGCCTCATCTCGGGGTAAGCCTCCATAATTGAGTTTTTATAAAGATTCGTAGCATAAATTTCGTCCAAATTATTCAACACAACATTGGTCCTATTTTGGGCTTTTGTCGAATTTTTTAATGAGGAGTTGTTGATTGTTGCTGAAATAAATTCCCAATCCCCGTTGAGTGAGGAATTGTCATATTTTTTGAGAGTAGATAACTGTGGAAACGCTTCCAACAGAGGGTTCTCGATGTAGTTTCCGCTATGGGGCAGGTCCCAATTGTAATGATTACGACGATTTTTAACTTCTTTTCTCCTTTGTTTTCGATATCTCTTGTTTGCATGTTTTCGAGAGTTACTGGTGGTTTTTATGTCGGACTTGTGCATTTCGTTATGATTACCCTGGATGATAGATTCTGGTGAAAAATGAAGTGTTTTTTTGGTGGTTGTGATTGGTGATATTGTGCAACGTGTAGTAAATAAATTTTCGTTAGAATATTTAAGGAAAATTGTAACCCATTACCGAGTTAATTTTTAGGTTGCTGTGGGTAGGGGAAAAATAGCATCATCAAGAGAATAAAATCAACATGTTGGAGGTTGTCAGAAAATTAGAATTTTAAAAAATAAAGTCAAGAGAATTATAAAAGGAATTGAGCAACAACTTTTGCTCATAAAAATTCCATTAAGAGAGTCAGTGAGCGAGCTTTTCAAATAAAGATTAATACCTCCACCAAAGATTTTTCTTTCTCTCAATGAATAAGCACGATTTTAACAATCACGCATAGTTACCACAATCACGCTCGTCCGATTCATCTCGGCACTCAATAAACCCATTGCACTGCAAATTGTTGGCGATGCACTGGCCGTCGCTGCAACGAAACTCACCAGCTCCACAACCTGATCATAGCAAAATAGCACCACACATGCGCAACTCATTTTTCTTCATTCTTCATTTCTTCTTTCTCGTATTAAATTATTCAATTTAACGGATAAATTAATTTTTACTAATTTGTTACTGATAAATGGAGTTGGCCAGCTCCATTAACACGTAATTTATTCCATGACAAGTCGAGATTTATCTCATCATCACGACACCTTTTACCCTTCGTTTATCATCCATCCACCCTTCCCTACAATCTCCGTGTGTGAAACCCTCTAAATTCAATTTTTACGTCGGTTGAAAATTTCACAAGAAAAATTTTCCATTTTAACATATCGATCCGGTAATCACATTGTAAGGTGTATGTCAAAATTGGCATGTTTTCCGATTTAATGTGAGAATTTAAAACGTATGAAAAATGTTGAATAATTATAATAATTATAATTTGATGGAGGAAAAAAAATTTTTTTATCCACATACCACATTGGGTCTCGTCCTCGCCATTCCTGCAGTCATTGTAGCCGTTACATCTCTTATCGATTCCCACACAGGAACCGTCAAGACAACGAAACTGATCGCTACTGCACGTCGTTACTGAAAATTAAAAAAATGGCTTTATGAAAATCATGTAATAATGAAAAATACATAATTGTAACTGAAATTGAATGACAATTGTGAGTGAAAAATAAAATCAAAATGAATAGAAGAAAAGAAAAATAATATTAAAATATACCGCTGCAATTTTTCTCATCGGAACGGTCTGGACAATCACTGCGACCATCACACCTTGCTGTACCATTGATGCAATGGCCGCCACCACAATCGAACTCATCGGCTCTACAGTGTTCTATATTGTGGCACGTATCAAAGAATAAAATTAACCAATTATAAGTGGCAAAATTATAAAGAGTAATAAAATCTAAAATAAAAATTGGTAATAAAGGACAAATTAAAATGTCAACATTCCCTTTCGAATTTTCAATCTTTTAATCAAATTGCCGCTCGATAAGTGAATAATAAATCAATGACTTTAATTATTCGATCCATGTTTTCACTTTTATTATCGACTGTTAACTTTCGTGCATGTTAAAAGTACTTCATATAATATTTTTAATAAGAAAAATTGACATGCGAAAATACTTGTAATTCCTCCACCTCAATTCATGCTCTACGGTTCTACATGTTTTGAGAAAATCTCAATGATTATGAAATCCTTCATTATCCTGGAAATGTCGTGAATATTGTACTCGATCATCCCAACAATAGCCTAATGAAATGTATCATTAGAGCCTTGTGGAATAGTTGAAATGAAAATGAGATATTGCCAACAATACTTATGGATTATTTATAGAATATCGTACTGTAGTTGGGGCAGTTCTCCTCGTCCCTTTTATTCGAGCAATCGTTAACTCCATCGCACCTCCGATGTTTCGAAATGCAAAAGCCAGCGGCGCATTCAAATTCGCTGTCTTTGCATGCTGTAAGAATTATCCAATTGTTTCTTCAACTCGTTTGAAACAACGTCTTGATTTCCTCGGTATATTGAAAATGAAAAGGCAGAAAGAAAGAGAGAAAGAAAAAAACGACCCAGAAGGACAGAGTAGATGAAGAAGATAATAATAAGACGGACATAGTTGATATGCGGTCAATGACGAGACAACAGAACAGACCTGCGAGATGTCGACTCCGTGACACAGAGCAATAAAGCATATTAAATGACATCAAATTGTTGGACACGATTATCGTCACAATAAGCACAAAAAATTATAAGCAACATATTCAGTGGAGATGAAAAACAAACTAGTTGAATTTTTTGTTTTGTACTTTTTTCTCATTTTTTTAAATGAAGATACAATGAATTGTAAGACATTATGCAATTCCCTTATGCATCTGAAAAATTGATTTAATCGAGGAAAATAAAACCTGAGAAGCTCCAAACGGTTCTAAAATTGACTCATTAATTCATCTTTTATTCTCCTCGAAGGGAGAGAAAAGAGGAGAAAAAACCACAGGAATGGAGAAAAGAAAAAGCCAGAAATTGAAATGACGAATATTTCCATATTTTAAAGTCAGACACGTGCGAATGTGATTTGAAATGATTTAAATCCACGAGCGAATGGTTATGGAACAAGTCTCTGTTAAACGTATTTTATTATACATCCCTAATTCACTGGGGATGAGGTTGCAATGAACAAATAGAAATAAAAAAACATTGTTGGAATTTTTTCATCCTCAATTTTTTGTCCAGACGAGAGAGAGAGAGAGAGAGAGAGAACGGGAAAGTGAATTGAAGTGGCGTGAAAACTGACGAGGGGGCCGATTCATCAGAGGGCCCATGGGAGATTAACGTCGGATTAAAATGCGGCCAGTTAGTAGGACAGCTAATAAACCCAAATGGAAATTCGGGAGGCGAAACTACATGTCCAGCCATGGAGGCCATTACTTCAAAATTCGTGAGATTTTTTTTTTATCCTGCCGAGGATAAGGATCAGCGATAATTTTTTTAATAAAACGATTTTGTATGGGATATTGAATGAATATTACATGGAAAAACATCCTATTTATTTCATCAATTTTGCGTGAATAAAGTGGATGTTACTGAGTGTATCCTAAAACGGTAGTTTAAAATGTGATTTTTTCATCGAGATTCGTAGGCATCACACTTTTGGCTCATTATATATCCATTGTTGTGAGATGCTATTATTCCATTGAAAGAATTGTCAACTTCCAAACACTCTCCTCCTTCTGCCCTTAAGTCACGGTTTTCTCCGATTTGTGTAATTAGTTCCATCCACATACTCGGTCATGCAAAGCCTCTATACCTCCTCCATTATATCTTGACACAAGCACATGTGTAAATACAACACCAAAGTAGAATAAATAATGAGCCTGGGTACAGTGGTACAACATTAGTAAAACAGTACGATTGGATTCCTCGGTGGCTGGTACAAGCCCACGGGGTGAGTAAAATTTTCAATGGGCCTCAGCTATTGCTTAAAACACGCCCGGTATGCGTGAAACAACATGCATTAAACGCATTATGGAGAGAATCTACGAGTGTAAGTCATGTATACAGAGGTACCGCGAATCGTTGTACCCATAAACTCGAGTGTTTCAAGCGTTTAAGACCTCGTGACTGTGAGGTCATGCACTAAAAGTGATTATATGTTAGTTCCAAAGGCGATTTACATAATTTTTTTTACTTGTATTTCTTCTTTTATGACTCTCGATACATCGATAATGTCAATAGGCTTGGCTATTAATAAGACGTCCGAATACTTGGAAAAATGGGGAGCATTGATCGACATTTGCGTAATGCTGGTTACGCTCCATAATTTTTTTTTACTCCCAATAAGAAGCTTTACAATATTTCCAAGCACCATTGGGAATTTCCTTTTCACGTTGAAAATCGTTATGGAAGAGATGTTGTTATGTCATATTGTGCTTAAATATTTCTCGGAAGAAATAGAGGATATTCCAAGTTTTATGGATTTTCTTTTTTTTTTCATAGTGAAAAGGAAATTGCAATGACTACAATAATACAGAACAATTAATATCAATGAAATATATCAAGTACTCACGGCAGTTGAGCTCATCCGATTTATCGTGACACTCAGTTATGCCATTGCATCGTAATCGGTTGTCTATACACTGGTGATTTCTACAACGGAATTCATGTTGAGTGCAAGCTGAAAGCAATAAATTAATTTTTGTTCATCAATTATGTATTTGAATTGAGAACCCACTGAGTGATACTTTCAAGTAAAATTTCAAATTATATATACACTCGTTTACTAAAGTTCTGAAACAATCTGCACTTGCATCCTATGTATTTTGTTTCAGAACTTTAGTACACGAGTGTACATTAAGAAGAGCGTCGATATATAATACTTGAGAGAATCATTGTAAAAAATCATAAATGCCAATCATAAATGGTATTTTAGAAACAAGTCAGCTAAAATTCCCCTGAAAATTGACATTCGAATAACCACTGTGATGTATAAAAAAGAGCAATTTATATCCAGTATTAAACGGAAAAGCAGCGACCAGTCAATTGCGGATCACATTTAACCCCTTTAACTCTCCATCTCCCTCTTGACTAGCAGTTGATGCCATAGTATACTGTGCTTTGACATGAGAAACTGATATTCAATGACACTACTTGACACCAGCAGCATAGAGTTCAGCTGAATACAATCGGCCAGGGGGGTAAAACCAAAGGGTGGGCATTAAATCCTCTTTGTCCCAATCCTCTGGAATTTTCCCTTTATCTCTAACCTTACCAAAGTCAATACTTGGTATCGTATTCTCGTTTAATATCCAGTTGTTTGGAAATATGACAATACATAGGGCTCCAAGTGGTTTTGTAGGTAATTAGTAATGATTCGATAATGATCAATGTCTCTAATATCTAGGTTGCAGAGTATTGCAATTGGAATCGAATGCAATGCAAGTACATTGACATGCATATATGCAAATTAATGGAAAAAGTTATGAAGCAAAAAATATTTCTTCTTCACTTGTGAATTTTCTCATTCTTGACGCTACTACTCACGGGACAAAAAGTTAAAAATGTCATTACTATCTTTAAATTTCTAAATAACTTGAAATTTATGTAAATCGAAAATTTCTGTGTTAGAATCACATTTGAAATTGAAATTTTTCATACGATCCATTATTTTCACGAGTGAATATAACTGTGTTGAATCTAGACACGGTTGGATTAAAAAGAGAAAAAAATGTATTTTTAACGGCTCAATGCGGTGAAATAAAAAGCTGGTAACACGGTACAGAGTGGATTGCATATAGAAACGATATGGCTCCCCGTAGGATCGCAAAAGCGTCTTTATCGAATTAGTCAGGGATTAATGGTAGCGGGGGGAGATTATATAGCTATACCTCTACCAGGGGCGGTCCAGGCCTTCATCACAGTTCACGCATATAAGCGGAGGCATTAAACTCATAACCTCGAGTTTTCATGATTGTTATCGCGGTCTAACGGTTTGTGGAGATACAACTGATGATTATGATTTTTTCTTTTTTTATGGAAAACGAAATATCGCATTTGGAGTAAATACGGGATTTGATTTTTCAACAGATGAGCCAAAATAATATCCACATGGCATACACACACACACACACACACACACCGCACAGTACACCTTGTATGTACTCTCAGTTGAGCGAGAAAATTTTTACTTCCCCCTTCATAACATAAAGCTGTATATATTAGCATGACAAGCAACGAGCATCAAATTTTCTGGACCTAAAAGCCCAAGTGGAAGCAAAGAGTACCTTTTCCTCACTAAATCGTCCATGCGCTTCTAATGGACTATCGCCGGTGAAATTTTTGTCCTCTATCTATGATAACATAAAGCACACAGCGCTGTAACCACCATTTCGATAGACGACTTTTTCCTTCCTTGTTACAGAGCCCTCGAATTTTATCATCTATCTAAACAATTCTTGGCATAATTCCCAGGAAAATTACAAACAAAAGTGAAAAAAAAACAAAAAAAAACAAAAAGCAATTAGGATTGGAATTTGTTTTCTTTTAGCATTTATCCTGAGATAACTCATAACATATCAGTGAAACGAAACCCAATCCATGAAGAAATCGTAATGACACTATTCACCCGATGAGTTTTCATTGAGAGAATCACAAGACAAAACACCGAGAACACCAAAACACAAGACAAAACACTGACTATGCTCTCCTATTACGGTGATACGAGGCGATAGTGAAATCTCACAGGAAGAAACAACGACCTCAGGTTTACGCGTAAAAGAGATAGAGAAAAGTGCATGGACCGTCGAATTCGGTCAACGAATGTGATTCATTTTATGGGATGTAGGGAAAAGATTTATGAAGCCTAGGGGACGAGTATCTGCTAAAACGCTTATCAGTGAGTTCTTTATGAAACCGAATATAAATAAAATCACATAGATCTATGATTTAAATGGATAGAGCATGTTTTTTTTCATGATCAAGGATTCGACAATTTCTACGATAAATTTATAAAGGGAAAATTTCCATTGGAATGGCAAACATAGCGATCAATTTTTATAAAAAATACTTGACAATAGAAAAATCTGACATTTAGTTAAACTATCAATTTAGAATTGATGGTAATTTCAATAAAGGAATTTTTCTCTAACAAAATGGGTTCCACGAAATGGTCTCTTACTATCCACTCGACAATCACATCTAACTGGCGAACCGCTGTATGTAAATCAGCGAGCATAACTCTACAACTCGCATGCGGTTTCATTGAACAATGCGTACGAGCCAATATAGTTTTATCTCTCTTTACGATTCAACGCATCCCACCACGCATGTCTATTGTGGAGAAATACGTTAAACGACATTTATGTCATACCAGTGTTATTTGTGATTTCTAGCTGTTGTACCGCAATTATTATGAGTTCACTTCTATTTTCTCGAGCACACGTACTTCAATGACTAACGGCGTTGTATAGCTATAAGTTATTTGAAATTTTATCACAGTCAGGAATTATTGCAAATTTGTTAGTGGTGATGAATCATCAAGTTTACAATTGAAATTCATTCTATTCGTCTTGAGTAATCTTTACGTACAACAATTATAAATCATGTAGATTTTCAGACATTTTATTGAGCAAATGAACACCTTTATCAGTCTTGATAAAACAATTAATGAATTCTGACGAATGAATGCATTCTCTTAAGAATCATCTCATCGTCACCTTTTCTAGCAAAAAAAAATAATGATATATGTCCCCATGGAATGTACCTGGGTGCGAGAGTGGTATTCCGCATCTCGTTATCGAAATGTACCAAGGTTAAATGCACACAAGACCATGCCTGAACATGATTATATTCATTCCTTTACACTCGTACGGGTTTTGTTTAAGGGACAAGTTGAGATTGCATGTGTCACATAAGACTAGTAAGAAACTAGTCGTGCTGCATTCCTAATGCTGACAATAGCTCCTATCCCTTTCCACTAAGGGGTGATCTCAACGAGTTGATGACGATACTAATTCAAAGTTAGTCATGCGGTGGCATGATATTTGTCTTGATTGACCTTTTTAAATGTAAAAAGATGGTCATAAAGAAATGTAGTCAATTTTAGACGTTTATGGAACTGTGAATATCCAGCAATTGGACAATTATTATAACTGGAGATTATGATTTTGAAAAAGGCAAATGAAAACGTACATAAACGTACATCTAGCTGTATTATTGTTATAGTTATGAAACAATCAATAAAAGGATTCCCAGTAACATTTTAATGACTATTTGGATAATTTAATATTTTTAATATTTATTTGGCTAACGCATTATGTTCATTTAACTTGCTGGATGATTAAAAAAATTAGGGAGGTTAACAAATGTCAACTGAAGAATTTCGAGAAAATCATTGATGTAATGAATGCAATTTAAAATCACTTGAACCGGGCAAAACACTTGTCACGAAATTAGAACAATATCTAGCTGGTGATAAACAGTAGTTGGTACAATAGGCTCACCCCTGCGGGGGTGGTTGTGTAATAAACAGTCGAAGCTGAAGCACAAATGGTATTTGCCGTACATTCTGCGTCTGCGGTATTTTGTTACCACAAAGAAGTCATGTGTTCATGCGGGGAGAAGCATGTTTACCCGTAAAAGCCAGAAAATCTAATAAATTTTCGTCCTTTCAGGGGAGGACAAATATCACGGTACGCGGATGTCATTTTGTTGGAGGAGTACTCAGAGATTACTGAGAATAAGTCAAACGCCAGAGGCAGAAGGATATTGATGGGGAGGTGAGAATAAAAAATTGGAGGGCAATGGAAATAAATACGGAAGAAAATGTTGAGAAATAAATAAAGAATTGACGATGTGGCGGTATTGAGTGTGAATCACTGATTTATTGATGAGAAAATGCCGACAGGAAGTACGAATCGATTATGACGGAGTGCATCCGGTTAAGTGGCGGGGGGATATTTATTTACAGGGGAGTATAAATAAGACCGGCATTGCTGAATTATTTTGGGAATTTTTTTCCCTTTTCTTCGATAAAGGGCGTGAATTATTTATCAGCATTCTAATTTGAAAAAAAAGAAATGAAATAAAACCACCAAAATTAAATTACTGCTTCCCCAAAACTCAGCTTTTACTCATTCTCAAGTAGAACAAATAAAATGATGTATTTTCATTTTTTCATATTGATCGCTTTATCGATTGGTACGGATTCATGAGGCACAAAGTGCCATTGTGACTTGCACCATAAACTGACGAAAAAGCGTTTATGAATACTTTAAACATTGTTAAACGAAAAATATCGATAAAACTGAGATGAAAGTTTTAACAAACTTGTGTATGTTTTTTTTTTAAATAAACTTGAATTTTCGATAAGCGATTTATAACAGCAGCTGCATCAACCGCGAGTGGAAAAACTATCAAACTTTTCTAATGGTCCACAAGTATTCAAAGTGGTGCATCATAAACTCAAACTCTTAAGTTTTCCTCCTTGATATCTAATGAAAATTTTTATTTTACCTGTGAAAAAACTCGCAATAGAAAGAGAACAAAAAATCGAAAAAATAGAGATAAATTATTAAATTGATAATACATCTACAATGGGCCTTTCCACCGATTGCAATGGGTTAAAATTTTTCGACAGGTTGTTTTATAAATTTTTTTGCTTCCTTTCCATCACGTCAC